GCCTCAGGCTGGTTGCATGTCCCCAACCCAAGGTCACTACTCGGTTTTTTTTGTTTTTTTTTTTTTTTAATTTATGATAGTCACACACACAGAGAGAGAGGCAGAGACACAGGCAGAAGGAGAAGCAGGCTCCATGTATCGGGAGCCCGACGTGGGATTTGATCCCGGGTCTCCAGGATCACGCCCTGGGCCAAAGGCAGGCGCCAAACCGCTGCGCCACCCAGGGATCCCCCAAGGTCACTACTCCTGATAGCCCACCCAACTCTCCAATCTTCAGGCCCAGAGATGGAAATACCTGTGCTTCCAGCTCCACTTTAGTCCACTGTACCTTGACATTGCCTGTACTCACACCTGGCTAAACAGCCCCTGTATCAATAAAATAGAATAAAATAAAATAATAAAAATCAATAAAAAACTTTAAAAAATTATCCTGGAGCAATCCTATATCAACATGTCATCTGTTTCCTACTGGAACCCTGATGGATACATATGCAATGCTAAATTTGTTTAAAATGAAGATTGTTGCCATTTGCAACAACATGGATGGATCTAGAGACTGTAATGCCAAGTGAAATAAGTCAGTCAGAGAAAGACAAATGCTATATATATGATCTCACTCGTATGTAGCGTCTAAGAAACAACAACAAATGAACAAAGAAGAAAGGAGACAAACCAAGAGACAAAACCCCTAACTATAGAAAACAAACTGGTGGTGAGCAGCGGGCAGGTGGGGGGAAGGGTGGAAGAGTTGATGAGGATTAATAGAATAATTATCATGATGAGCGCTGAGTAATGTATAGAATTGTTCAGTCACCATACTGTACACCTGAAACTAATATAACACTGTATATTAACTATACAGGAATTAGATTTTTTAAAAAATGAATAACATAGGGATCCCTGGGTGGCTCAGTGGTTTAGCGCCTGCCTTCGGCCCAGGGAGTGATCCTGGAGTCCCAGTATCCAGTCCCACATCGGGCTCCCTGCATGGAGCCTGCTTCTCCCTCTGCCTGTGTCTCTGCCTCTCTCTCTCTCTCTCTCTCTCTCTCTCTCTCTCTCTCTGTCTCATGAATAAATAAATAAATAAATAAATAAATAAATAAATAAATAAATAAATAAATAAAAAATGAATAACATAAAATTAAGATTGTTTTCCAGGGAAATATGGATTTAAAATTGATTCAAGAAGAATTCAAGGGATGCCTGGCTGGTTTAGTCAGTGAAGCATGTGACTCTCGATCTCAAGGTTGTGACTTCAAGCCCCACATTGGGCATAGAGATTACTTAAAAATAAAATCTTTTTTAAAAAAGGAAGAAATCAGGGTGCCTGCGTGGCTCATTCGGTTAAGCATCTGCCTTGGGCTCAGATCATGATCTCAGGGTCCTGGGATTGAGACCCACATCAGGCTCCCTGCTCAGCAGGGAGTCTGCTTCTCTCTCTCCTTCTGCTGCTTCCCTGCTATGCTCTTTCTCTCTCTCTCTCTCTCTCTCTCATCTCTATCTCTCAAATAAATAAATAGAATCCTAAAAAAAGAAGAAGAAAAAATCAAAACAAAATAGACCAATAATCATGGAAGGAAGTGAAATTATCAAATTATTACATGCGGCTTAAGGCCAGGCTTAGACAATGTTAATTAAATGCAAGATCTGTTGTGCCTTCTTAATTCCAATAAGTATGTACTTGTAAAATCTTCCAGGATGTTAAAAAGATAGAAATTTTCTAAATTGACTAGTTGACATAAAGTGATACTAAAACCTAACAAAAGTAGCTTAAAAAATGAAATGACAAACCACATTTAGTTCTTAAATACAGAAATCTTAGCAAATTGAACCTACCATTTTATGTGGAATAGTAAAAGAGAGTCTGTGCCATGAAGACAAAAATGGGTCAATATAAGGAAATCCTGTATGAACTTGGTTAGAAAAAGGCAAAAAAAATACAATTAATACAATTAAATCCTTAAATTTGTAGTAATTTTTAAGATTAGAAATATACTTCCTTAATTTAGAATAGACTATCTATCTGAAACTAATATCCAAGGTTATATTTATGGCAAAACATTAGAGATAATCTTATTAAAATTAGGAATAAGATAATGATGCCTGCTATCAATATTGTTATTTAACATTGAATTTTAGGGGCCCCAGGCTCATTCAGTTAAGCATCCAACTCTTGGTTTTGGCTCAGGTCATGATCTCAGGGTCCTGAGATGAAGCCCCTGGTCGGGAGGGAATCTACTTGAAGACTCTCTCCCTGTGCCCCCTCCCCACTCACAGTCTCTCTCTCTCTCTCTCTCTCTCTCTCTCTCCCTAAAGTAAATAAATCTTTAACATTGGACTTTATAGCTCTGGTCAATGTAATAGGACAAGAAAAATAAATGTGAAATATTTATACAAAGAGAAGAAAATGCTATCATTTGCAAAAATGACTATCTGACTGAAAAATAATATATTTACAAATCAATGCAAAAAAAATGAAAAACTGAGCCAAAGATGTAATTTAGCACTTTACAAAGGAAGACAAATGGTCGACCAAAACAAGAGTAAATATGCCATATTGTAATTCGGGTAGGGGGGAAAGAGGCACTCTCTTTTCTTTTTTTTTTTAAGATTTTATTTATTTATTCATGAGAGACACACACAGAGAGAGAGAGAGAGAAGAGGCAGAGACACAGGCAGAGGGAGAAGCAGGCTCCATGCAGGGAGCCCGACGTGGGACTCGATCCCGGGTCCCCAGGATCAGGCCCTGGGCTGAAGGCAGCGCTAAACCGCTGAGCCATCCAGGCTGCCCAGAGAGGCACTCTCATACTCAGTTCTTCATAAAGTGCAACCATTTACAGACTCACAATCTGACAGAATGTTTTAGAACCTTTAAAATGGACTTACGTCTTGACCCCACATTTCTACTTCCAGGAATTCAGTGTCAGAAGAGGATAGAATCATCTTATTATCTAAATAAGAATGGTTGGGGGCAGAAAGAGACAGAATTATATTCGAGAGTGTTCATTGTATATAACACTAGTTTACAATAGTCATTTCATTGAATACATTATAATATATTCATAAAATAAAATATATGGCCCCGAAATGATGTTGAAGTGCTCGTTCATAATTTCTGAATTCTTCACAATTGATTTTTTTTAAAGATTTTATTTATTTAGTCATGAGAGACACAGAGAGAGAGGCAGAGACACAGGCAGAGGGAGAAGCAGGCTCCCTGCAGGGAGCCCCATGTGGGACTCGATCCCGGGACCCTGGGGTCACAACCTGAGCTGAAGGCAGATGCTCAACCACTGAGCTATCCAGGCGCCCCTTCACAATTGATTTTGCGGGGACAAAAATCAAGTTTCAAAATAATAGGCAAAACATTAGCCCTCTTTTACTGTATATATTAATTTTGTCTAAATGCGTAAAACGTGAGTACACACAAAATGCTAATAGTGCTTATCTCTAAGCAAAGAGATATTAATTTCCTGCTTTATTTTAATATCTTTTTAAAGGGATTTCATATCCAAAGGAAGCTTGGCCAGTTGTGAATGGAGCAACCATACTGAGTGATTTAGATCGTTCTTCTATTTCTGTTCAGAGAGCCCCAGTGAGCTCAGCTGATGGCTCTGCCTGTTAATTGTCCGCTTAGATATTTGGTGCCTGATCTTAAGAAAATTGCTTAATCTCAGTTTTCTCAATGAAGAAATACTAAGAATAATTTTAACAACACTTGGTAAATCTTAAACCTCAAAAACAGAAGACTATGAAGTTGCCCTGCCCCTCCCCAAAATCAGATCTGAATTTGATCCATCTTCCAAGTCCAAACACTAATTTACAAAAAGCAGAAGAAGAACATCGTGTTCCAAAACCCTACAGGAATACGGTGAGCAAAATCCCAACACAGAGGAACTCTGTGGGACAAATAACCTCCTGTGTTTTGTTGCCTCCTGGGACAAATAACCCAGTTTCTTCAACAAATAAGTAACATGACACAAAAAAAGTGAGTGATCTGATCATATCAACCAATCTCAACCCTGCTGGCTTTCTTTGGGTTCTCATTCAAAGAACCTTTTTGGTTTTTTTTTTTATATATATATTGGCATTTAAGAGAAATTTGTGAATTTAAACACTGGCCATATATTAGATGATGCTAAGAAACTTGTTAATTCCTCAAGTCTTATAATGATGTGTTTCTCCTAAAGTGCCCCATGAGAGTCTCACTGAAATATTTATAGATTAAATGACAGGATACATTGCATTGGTCTTAAAATAATATGGGGGGTGGCGGTGAAGGGCTGTGGGATGGGGCAGGACTGGCCATGGGCTGATGGTGGGTACTTGGAGGTCATCATACCATCCGGCCTACTTTTGTGCTCATTGACATTCACCATCCCAAGAAACGTATTTTTTTAAAAAGCAAATAGTGCTCTCATCTTCATGATGAAACTGACGAACCTAAACTTGTACAATTTGCTAATAGGAAAACCGGAATCCTTGGCCAGTGGGGACTGGAAATAAGATAGAGAGGCCAAGCCAGGGGGAAATTTGACAACAAAGCAATTCTCCCTCCGTGTCCTGACATATTAGAAAGTTGACATGAGAAATGGTGAGCACCATCCTTGGACCAAACTGCCCCCTACACCTGGCCCCCAGCAGAACCTCCTTCCTTTGCTCTGGACAGCCGTCCAGGGGCCAGGAGAGCCCAGGGAGGTGTAGGCACACGGCCCCTGGGCCTGTGAATGAGCAGGCACGGTGCCCAGACTTGGGATGTGCAGCCGTCCCCACACTAGGCAGGCCCCTTCCCAGAGCGCCCACTCGTGCTTGTCTGGGAGCTAACTCCATGGCCCTGCTGTCCTCATACAGTGAGGGCTGTTGTTCCCCATGTGGCATCGTGAGGTCCCACAGCCAGAAGGTGACAGAAGGGAGACCCCCACACACCCACATATCTGCGGGCCCTTTCCCTACCTGGACCCCAAACCCAGTAAGCTTGGTGTCCCACCGCTTCCACCCAGGTGCTGAAGACCTGCGCGCCGGCCCCCACAGTTATTGAGACTCTCTTCAACTCCTACCCTCAGCTCCGCGTATCCGAGTCCTGGAGGGAAGTGATTCCTGAGGAAGTATTTCAGGTAAGGGAGCCTCCCGTCCCTGCAGCCCCGCTGTGTTTCTGCTCCTGTGTGCCCGTCCGCCCAGGGTGGCGGGAAGCGCAGAGCACCTGAGGAAGGGCACGGAGAGGGCGAGTGCAGGTGTGTGTGAGTATTGCTGCCTCGCTTCTGGAGGAATCACGCAGCCAAGAGCTGTTGTTACGCTCGGGGTGCTGTTGGCTGCAAGGAGCAGGACCCCGACCCTCACTCGGCTGGAGGAACGTCAGACCTTGAGTAACGCCCCCATCCCGCTGGAGAAGGGTGGACGCAGGGAGCACCTGAGCCCACAGGCTCTGCTCCTGTGTGTCCTCTCCCCACCCACCCCAGAGCCTAGATGTGGCCGAGGCAGCGGCAGGCACCTCACAGGGACCCAACAGAGTCTGCAGTCACTGTCGATTAAGAAACAGGGAGGGCCTTTTATCCCCCCAGAAGCCTCCAGAAGACTTCCCCTCGTGTCTCATTCACTTGAGTCGGGGCTTATTGCGCAACAGCAGATGCACTGGGCGGCGCGGGGAGCAAAGCGGGATGGGAGATGACCCGTATGGGCTGTCTCCCCACCCAAGACGGGCTTCCCTTGGACCCCACGGGAAGTGCGCCTCCCAACACTATGCGCACCCTCTCAGTGGAGGGCGCTGCTTGCCTGGGGCCTTGGGGCCGTGGGGCCCAGCACCTGAGTTTACACCCCATCTGCCTTCCTTCCAGATGCACCAGGCCTTCTACCAGTCCTTCTTTGCCTTGGCCCACACCCCGCGCTGTCTACAGCATCTCTGCCGCTGTGCCATCCGGAAATTATTCGGCAAGAAGTGCTTTCACCTCGTGCCCCTGTTACCGTTGCCAGAGTCCCTGCAAAATTACCTCCTTTTGGAACCAGAGGGTGTTTTGCACTGAAAACCAGAGCGTTGGGACCAAGGCTCCGGATCTCACTGCTGCCCTCCGCGGAGGCTTGTGCGGAGGCAAGCCCGTGGGGACGAGGGGCAGACCCGGAGGGCACCTCCCACGGCCCCTGGTGGTCGCACAGACCCCGCTGAGCCTCCCGGGCACTTTGGGAGGGAAAGAGTAATACAAGGCCTTTCTGCCTCTCAGGGTTGCTTGCAAGGCTCGAGGTTGTGACACCCTAGTACTTGTATCGGAAGGTACTCTTCGACAGAAGCTGAACTAAAAGGTACCCCTGTTTTCCCTGCATGGGCTACCAGCATCCATGCTGCCCCCCAGCCTGCAGACTCTCTGCCTCTCAGGAACACCCCACCCCTCCTGGAGCCTGGCCACCTAGAAAGGCTCTGTCCCCAGCACATGTCCACACTGAGAGAGGACACCTATTCCCGTAACAGGGACACGCCCCCCCCCAGGAGCCCCCTGGTGCTTCCCAGCACATTACAGTACAGAACTCCCTAAAGGACATCAGGGGGGATGGCAAGCCCGACGTTGTGATCCCTTGTGAGTCTTCTCTCTGACACCCTCACCAAACCCCAGCTGATTCGGCTGTGGCCAGCAGTCCAGGAAGCCAGACGCTGGGAAGAGACAGGTTGGTAGAGGTTGGCCATCAGCCCAGCCTGAGCATCACATACAAGAGCGATGTTCTGAGGGTCAAGGACTGTATAGACCATGTCTTTCCTTTTCTGTATTCTGGTGCTTTGATACCTGGGACCTTGCTCACCCTGGAGGGACTGTCCCCACTCAGGGTAAGCCAATTCCTAGAGACAACAAACAACTCACCCTCAAACATGCTTTTCAAATGCAAACCAACCAATCCAGAGCTCACACCCCCAACCACCTCCTTCACTGGGCTGTCCGAGTTGCACTACTAACCACCTCTCCTAACTACTAACCACCTGTCATAACTGTCCTGGGGCCCGGTGCCAGACAGGTGGGGACAGCCCTGATACCTCAGAGCCTGCTGAAGTTATTCAGACTAGCTGATCCTAAGCCCGATTATCCTGCCTGGTCGTTCCTTCCCTGGAAAACACAATAATGGCTTCTGTCCCCATCCCCTCCCCCAACCTCCTAAGCAACCCTGGTGCTTCCCCATGTCCCCCCATGGTACCGTGTGCCCCTTCTCTTGGGAATGGTGAGTAATAAACTATCTTTTCAATGGCAGTTGTCTCTTGATCTGTTGGCCTTACCAGACCTCAAAGTTTCTATTAATATCCCTTATTTTTTTAGAGAGAAAGCGTGAATGGGGGAGGGGCAGAGAGACAATTTTAAGCAGACTCCACACTCAGTGCAGAGCCCAACAGGGGGGTCAGTCTCATGACCCTGAGATCATGACCTGAGCCAAAATCAAGAGTCGGGCGCTTAACTGACTAAGGCACCTAGGAACCCCTACCCCTAGAATAAGAACTCATGATGATCATCCTCTGAGGATGAGCAGTGAGTCCAGTTTTGCACTTTGAGCGAGCACCAGGTGCTGCTTAGACAAACCTAGCAGGGCGGGCCGGGGCGGGCTGTGCCTCCCATTGTCTCAGGCTGAAGGTGTGCAGGCCGGCGACCCCTGCGGCACAGGTAGGATATTGCGTGCACCATAACGAAGCCTACAGAGGAGGTGGAAAGGGGCCCAGACGGGACCTACCCCCAGTGAGGGCAGACATCCTGGAGTGGGGAGCGAGCTGAGCCTTGATTTTAACACAGTGGGCCAAGAGGGTGATAGGACCACATCCCCTAGCACCTTCAGCTGACCCACCCTTTTTTTTTTTAAGATTTTATTTTTATGGGATCCCTGGGTGGCGCAGCGGTTTAGCGCCTGCCTTTGGCCCGGGGCGTGATCCTGGAGACCCCGGATCGAATCCCACGTCGGGCTCCCGGTGCATGGAGCCTGCTTCTCCCTCTGCCTGTGTCTCTGCCTCTCTCTCTGTGTGTGTGTGTGTGTGTGTGTGACTATCATAAATAAATAAAAATAAAAAAAAAAAGATTTTATTTTTATTTGAGAGAAAGAGAGTGGGGAGGGGCAGAGGGAGAGAGAGAGAGAAAATCTCAAGCAGACGCCCTGCTGAGCGTGGATCCCAATGTGAGGCTCGATCTCCTGACCCTGAGATCATGACCTGAGCTGAAACCAAGAGTCAGACGCTTAACCAACTGAGCCACCCAGGTGCCCCCTGCCCACCTCCTGCCCTTTAAGACAAAACAACTCACCTGACCTAGAAAAGGCCTGTGTACACATGGCTTCGGGACTCTTCACACCCCCACCCAGGCCGATGGCAACATGCAGGAAGGTATAGGGCGTGATGGGGGGACAGAGATTCATCCTCCTGGAGGGGAGAGTCCCCATGCTTTGGCAACTGGAAAGAAGAAAGGACGGGACAGCATGGGGCAGATTGGGAGGGCCTTGGCTTCCAGACTAAGGATTCTGAACTCCACCAGAGGAGCCATAAGGATCCACCCAGCAGGTGAGTGATGTGGTCACAGCGGGACTCTGGGGAGATTGCTTTGTCCTGGAGAGGCATGCAGCACGCCGCAGGACAGGCGGGAGCCCACCGTGACCCCTGAGATGGGGCCGCCCCCAATCAAGAACAGTTACTTAACACATATCGAATGTCATCTGCTCAGCTGGAAGGTACAAGTATCTGCACCCCTCTTGTTGGGTCAGAATTTAGTGAGAGACCTGATGGGAGGCAGGCAGGGCTTCTCCAGTTTGAGAAGGATCTTGTTGAATTGCAGATTCGGACTCTGGAGGTCTGGGGTGGTGTCCCCACTGAGTGCAGAGATAGAAAAGCCCCAGGTCCAGAGCCAGCCCAGCATAGGAACTCAATAAATAGTTCCTTCTGTTGTTATGATTACACTATTTTGAGAAGAAAATGGCCAGATAAAGAGGTAAGAAGTGGAAAAGCAAAGTCATGTTATTGATAAGAACAAAGAAGAAGGGCCAGAGTACAGGGTAGGTGAGAGAGGGAGCCCTGTCCTCACTGCATTTTGCAAACGACAACCTGAGCAGATGTGCTGTCCTGACAGGACGGAGCCTTCGGCCACCCTCTCCGTCCCACTCACCGTGGAAAACAGTCAGGTTGTATTTCCGAAGTGCATTCACATTTATAGATGTTTTAAGAGTCTGGGAAAAAGAACTCCTTTAAAACATACTGATTTTACTTTTTAAAAAAAATATATTTTATTTATTTATTCATGAGAGACACAGAGAGAGAGCGCGGCCGAGACACAGGCAGAGGGAGAAGCAGGCTCCTTGCAGGGAGCCCGGTGTGGGACTCGATCCCAGGACCCAGGACCTCGGGGTCACGCCCTGAGCCAAAGGCCATCCAGGCGCCCCCACATACTGACTTTATATTTCTAAAATTCTGATGAATGATGATCAACTATTAGATTTCCCCAAACATGTTTTTTTTCCCCCAAATTACAGCTTAAAATGGCAACACGATTCTCACAGGGAAGCCCGGATGGCTCCCTATAGCTGTCTGGAAGAATTGTTCCTTTTTCGTTATTTTCACCTCCAGGAATTTTCTCTGAGCGTGGAGATGTTACCTGAAGAGCTAATCCAGAAGGTTCCTCGGGTTTCATCACTCACGCACCGAGTCAGCTGCTTGCTCATTGCTTTGACCCCGGGGACTGAGCCCACTCGGCTGTGGCTGCAAGACAAGACGGGCTCCTCCCCTCGGGCGCCCGGGGCCCAGCAGGAGCCCCACTGTCAGCGCGGCTGCGGGAGAGACCAGCTGGCCCACGCGGGGCAGGCCCTGCACAGGCACCTCCTGGTCCACCCCCGTCCCCACTGTGTCCTCCACAGTCATGGAACCTTCCAGGGCCCTCGTGGCCGCCTTCCTCCGGCTTCGGCTCCGTGTCGAGGGAGAGATGCTCGTTTATCCCCAGGGCAGGCGGAAGCTCCGGCACCTCCTGGTCCACCCCCGTCCCCACTGTGTCCTCCACAGGCATGGAACCTTCCAGAACAAGCAGTCTCACTGCACTCCACCAGCCATGAGCACGTGCCGTGTGGCCGGTACCCCTAGTCCAGTGCTCCCGGTCACCCTGGACCCATGTGCAACGGGGACAAAGCCACGATATCAGTACTTTACTGCCTCTAGCTCATCCAGAACATGACATGGCAGCTTCACCAAAAAAGGTAGAGAATTAACTGGCACTAGAAATTCATGCAAGGTGGGGATCCCTGGGTGGCCCAGTGGTTTAGCACCTGCCTTCGGCCCAGGGCATGACCCCTGAGTCCTGGGATCGAGTCCCACATCAGGCTCCCTGCACGGAGCCTGCTTCTCCCTCTGCCTGTGTCTCTGCCTCTCTCTGTGTGTCTCTCATGAATAAATAAAATCTTTTGAAAAAGAAAGAAAAAAGAAAGAAGAAAGAAAGAAAGAAAGAAAGAAAGAAAGAAAGAAAGAAAGAAAGAAAAAGGAAGGAAGGAAGGAAGGAAGGAAGGAAGGAAGGAAGGGAAAGAAAGAAAGAAAGAAAGAAAGAAAGAAAGAAAGAAAGAAAGAAAGAAAGAAAGAAAGAAAGAAAGAAAGAAAGAAAAAGAAATTCGTGCAAGGGACGGCTGGGGGGCTCAGGGGTTGAGCGTCAGCCTTTGGCTCAGGATGGGATCCCGAGGTCCTGGCATCAAGTCCCACATCTGCTTCTCCCTCTGCCTGTGTCTCTGCCTCTCTTTCTCTGTGTGTCCCTTATGAATAAATAAATACAATCTTTAAAAAAAAAACTTATTTTGATGACTGTATCTTGCATGTTCAACATGTATTAGGAAGTTCTCAAATCAAGGGGACTTACATAATTCTCCATAGATAAGAAAGAGAAATACGGGGAGGAGGAGGAGGACAGGACCAAGAGGAGGGAGGCAGGGAAGGAAGGGAAGAAGTCAGCCAGGTGAAATATCCAAAAAGACATTCTACTTTTTTTTTTTAAGTTTTTATTTTTAAGTAATCTCTACACCCAACATGGGGCTCGAACGCACAACCCGGAGATCAAGAGTCGCATGCTCCACCGACTGAGCCAGCCAGGCTCCCCAAGACGTTCTACTTTAAAGCCAGAATTACCCTGGCTGACTTCTCTTCCAGTGAACCAAATGTACCTTGGTATTTTTTTTTTATTATTAAAGGCTCTAAAAATGTTTTCCATTCTTAAGCAGTTCCTGTGGACATCATTACTTTTCTCTTTGGGTAGATTACATAAGCCCAATTCCACAAGCCCTAAATTGGTTTCTTTATAACCTCATATTTAGTTTTTAATGATGGAGTCACACGGTTCAAAAATCAGAAGGTAACAAAAGAGTAAACGCTGTTTCCACTAAAAAAAGATAACAGAGGATCAGTTTCCTTACGCTTTTCCTGAGCGTCTTTGACGACACTACTTGTCATCCGGCCACTGAGAATTCAGAAAATACACAATTGAGGTTCCCCACCAGCAGTGGTCCTGAGGACGTGGGCCTCCATGCATCCTGGCTGTGCCCCGTGCAGGGCAGACTGTCCTCAGGACGCCGCCCCCAGCCCCCAGGCAGTCAGTGCATGGACGGGGCACCCCGGGACGTGTTAGGTCTACAGTTCTGAACCCGGCATTGGGCCGGTCTCCTAGGGTCTTTGTGTCTGTTTAATTCTAAGTTACATGGTAATCCTCAAGGCAGCATGTTTTGAAGAAAATCGAAACCACTGACTATTAGGAAGCATTTGCTAAGCCCAGTAACTATCTATAATTGTCCCATTTGCAATCTCCGAAATCACCCTTTAGACACACGTCGACGGGGCAGGCTGTTGAACTTCTGCAAAGAACACTTAACCCTCCACAAAAACGGTATAAAATACAGGCTTGGGGAATGAGCTGGTCTGCTCCAGCGACCGGTCCTGATGCGGGGGCAACGGAAGGGAAGCTTAATCACTGCAATTGCAGATATTATTAGCTTGCCAAGTGCTTTTCATCTCTTAAGGGCTGCCCGAGGACCAAGTGACAAACCAGGGATATTGCATCTTTTATTCCATTATTTCAAGAATACATTACTCCTTAGTCAAGTTTTCGACGCACACTCGGGCTTTTCCAGAAACACCCAAGTTTCAACTGTGATCAATACTGCATCTCGGGGATCCCTGGGTGGCGCAGCGGTATAGCGCTTTCCTTTGGCCCAGGGCGCGATCCTGGAGACCCGGGATCGAATCCCA